GCCTGTTTGGCAATATTTTGGATTTTGAAAAGCCTGTTGACTTTTGCCGTTTATCTAAGGTGATTTTGGAAGTTTTTTTAAACATTTGTTTCTTATTTAATTGGTTCCACATTGTTTGCTGATTTTTACTTTATTTAAACTTTGTGTCATTTATTTATTTTATTTGACATCAAGGTGTATGCCGTGCCTCCAAGCTTTCTTACTCATTTTGCTAATAAACGTTCTACGTTTCTTACTTATTTGATTATATATTATACATGTTTACTTGTTTCCAGTTGTGTACATTTAAACTTTATGTAAGTTATTTGTTATTTTATATTAGGCATAGCCTGCCCTATAGCATGGTGTATATGTTAATAAAAGTTCTATGTTTTATACAGTATATAGGCTAAAGTGAGTTTGACGTTGTATTTTGTTGTTGCATTCAAGAAATTGACGTCGAACTGCCGCTAATTCGAAAGTGAAAGTAAAATGCGCACGGCGCTTTTAAGCTATTTAAAAGCGAAGGAAAGCGAGGAAAAGAGGGAACACCCCCGCCCCCGCGGTGATACCGGTATTACCGGTGTTGTCACACGTCGATTAACCGGTGGGAAAATTTCCTCACCGTCACAAACCTAGTTTGTAGCTATTCCAGTTGTTATTTAGCTGCTCAGGAAATGCGATCCTCCATTAAACCTCCATTAATTTTCACATTTAAAAATGTTTTATTATTATTATTATTATGAAAAGTAAAAACTTTGCAATTGCTTTATAAAATACTTCAATAAAAATCCATTGTGATACACTGTTGGTCCAACCTGACCAGTGCTGATGAGTTATCCCTGATATATCCCTGACTGTGCTGCTTCTGTGCAATGAAACTACTGAGTCTGTACAATGACTTCTATCTGAATAATGACATTGACAAACTGTAATAGACACATTTAATAGTTTGGTTTGTGTTAAGGTAAAGCATCCAGTCCCAGCTCAGCGGTGTCAGAGAAGGTGCGCACTCGTCTGGAGGAACTGGATGACCTGGAGGAGGTGGGTCTCGTCTGGAGATGTCTTGTGCTTTACTGTTTGTTGGTAGACATGTTAATGAATATGTGGCGTATTGTGTGTGCTCAGGGCTCCCAGAGGGAGCTCTTGAACCTGTCCCAGAAGGACTATGTCAACCGCATTGAAGAGCTCAACCAGTCTCTGAAGGAAGCCTGGGGTTCAGACCAGAAAGTCAAAGCCCTAAAAATCGTCATCCAGGTATGAGAACCTGTTAACACATAAACCATCAGTATACACTGAAGTGACATTTCAAGCCAAAATCGAGTCTATTAACTTTAATAATGCACATTTCCGGTCTTGTTGTGAATGATTCATCAGTGCAGCAAAAAAAAAAATTCTTCATCAAAATTTTGTGTGTCAGTGCTCCAAGCTGCTCTCTGATACGTCAGTAATTCAGTTCTACCCCAGCAAGTTTGTTCTCATCACAGATATCCTGGACACATTCGGTAAGTGTTGCTCATGTCAGTAATCTTTCTGTTTGTTCGTATTTTACTGACAACATATTTTTTACCCCCATTCTTAACTTTATAAATGACAAGCTTCACCATTTACTTTCTTCAGTGCTGATCATTTGAAGAGTGAAGAGTGTATTTAAATGCAGCAAGATAATAGGAAAATGTTTGTTTGTTACTCTTGGTTATGTCATATGTGTACAGGTGGCCTGGTGTATGACAGGATCTGGTCCATGTGTGCTGACCCTCATCCTCTACCAGGTAAAACAAAATGCATCACAACTCAGCATGTTCTTTTACCATCTCTGTGACTTTGTTAATGCATTTTCTCATTAATGTCGTTCTCAGAATCGTTCTCCGCTGATGATGTGAATGACACAGCCAAAGAGACGTGCCTCAACTGGTTCTTTAAAATCGCCTCCATCAGAGAGCTTGTCCCTCGATTGTATCTTTTCAGCAGGATTTTGACACACTTTTCCATGTCTTGTTTAAGTATTTAAGCATTTTCAATAATTCATATGTAGAAATGTTGATGCAAAAAAGTTATTAAAATAAATAAGCGTGTAAAAACAAACAGCAGTGTTTTAAAAGCACCAGCACTGTTTAGAAAGTAAGCCAACGATGTTTTAATGAGGAAGCCTGACATATGAAATAGTCCGAAAAATATAATTTGGCAATAGAACAGTTTGTTGAACCTTTGGACAAAATCTTGTTTTTTTTTCTATATATATGTACTGTATATATTCTATATATATTCTATATATGCAATACAATGATTATTGAAAGATAAATGTTCCTCAAAAGCTTGATCTCATATTTGATGCTCACATTTTAAGATGATTTCTCCAAAACATTATATATGGATAATAAAGTAAACCTAAGTTGCTTCAGTCTAGTATTCATCTTGAAATATTAATAACAATAAAAAAGTTATTGTTATGTTTACTTTATAAAAGTCAAACAGTCAAAAATTTAGAGCAAAAAGGCAATCAAATTACAATAAAATGCCTTTTCATTACCAAAAAATTACAAACTATCAATCAGATGACAGAAGGCATACAGAAGATTGTGAAAAATGTGTTTTGATCATGCTAATGATTTGAAGGCCTTATAAATTTGCATATAACATTTGATACAGTCAGCTTTATAGCATCGTGGTTATAAGAAACTGTTGAAAGATGGGAAAAAATAACACAAATATGAATCGAACCCCAAGAGTGTAATTGTGAACCCTTGACTTTAGCTCAGATATGTTGAAGCTGCTCTTCTGAAATGCAACCGCTTCTTGACAAAGTCGTAAGAATCTGAGCAATGCAACACTTCTGTTCATGCAGGTTGGTATTTTCATTGGTCACTGATGTCCTCTTTCTGTCCTTCAGTGGGATTCAGGAGACGCTGCAGAGACTGACAGCGATGATCAGAGGAATAGGAGATCCACTGGTGGCTGTATACGCACGCGCGTATTTATGCAGGGTGAGAAGAATAATATTATTTGATTATATTGTGTATTTTAACAGGTTTTCCCTAC